CTTGTCACTAGACACCCCGGGAGGTCCTTTTTTCTTATACGTTGTAGTTTCTCTTCTTACATACACTCCCATGTCATTAGACATCCCGGGAGGTCCTTTTTTTTTATATTTTATTGTTAGGCGTGCCCCATCTCTCATTACATTCGGTTTCTGATATGTAATTCTGGACTTCTTTAAGATTGCTACAACAGTGAGAAAAGTCAAAATAGCTCCTAGTAAAAGCATAGAAGCCTCTATATTAACCTCCCACAATAGCAACATTCCCAAGCCAAAGTCTAGAAAAATCATACCTCTCCGAATTTACCATCCTGTAGTTTTGAATCCGCCTCGTTAGAGGGGTCTCCGTGGTGCTGGAGATGTTAAGATTCCCGGGTTTCGGCACCATATGTCCCGCGCCCGCTCCGTATTCCTCGCCAGCAAGAAATACACGCAGGACACTCGGATCCTTCTGCAGACAAGCTTTAATGCATTTTACCAGAGTGGAGACTGAACAGAGACTGAGCAGAGACATTGAACCAAGAAAACCATCCCTATATAAAAGGCTGACCAGCCGCCTGGGACGTATTACCCTATGAATGGCTTTAGCTCCTCAGGCTAAAATGAGCCACGGGATAGGCAGAGATCAAAGGAATGGAGATAACCCAGCGCCTGTGAAGTAATTCACATCTTGGTGTCTTCAGGCAGCATTATAATGTAGGAACTGGCTTCCTACAAGTCCTGGCAATTTTTCCCCCAGTTTAATTTTTTTTCAGAGTTACAGAAAGCTAGGAAGACTAGTTGAAAAAATACCTGGTATTTTTTATCTCATTTTACAAAATTTAACATTTTGGTGATGGACTGTTTTGTTTATTTGTTATTTAGACAGTGTTCAATCTGTGTGTATGTCTACATACCAGAAAAGGAAAATATCTCATTTTAGATATCTGTGGACCACCATGTGGTTGCTGGGAATTGAACTCAGGACCTCTGGAAGAGCAGTCAGTGCTCTTAACCTCCGAGCCATCTCTCCAGTACCAATGGACTGGCTTTTAATGCACATTTTTTCCTGGATTTTCTGATAATTTTTGTATCCACTTACAATTCATTTTTTTTCAGACAGGGTTTCTCTGTGTTATAGCTCTGGCTGTCCTGGATCTCACTCTGTAGATCAGGTTGGCCTCGAACTCACAGAAATCCACTTGCCTCCACCTCCCGAGTGCTGGGATTAAAGGTGTGTGCCACCACTGCCTGGACAATTTGGTTATTTTTAAGTAAGGGTTTGCCTTATACCAGTGTAGGACACACAGGATCTAAGCAAGGAAATGGAGCCTTGAACACATAAGACTATGAGTATGTATGTTCATCAGCTTTCTGCTACAGTAACATAACCCCTGAGGTGATAAAGTTATCAAGAGAAAATTGTTGATTTTGCTCTCAGTCTTGGGGGTTTCTTGACAAGACAGCTCTCCATTTCCTCATCCAGGGTCTCCAGTGACCTACAGACCTCTCACTAAATCCTCCTCAGAGAGGTACCACCATCTCCTAACAGTGCCACTACAGGGGCCAAACCATCAATACTCAGGCCACACAGGGGAGGGGACAATCAGCATCCAAGTTATGGCAATTGAAAGGTTAATTCCCACCCCACATTCATGGTCAGCAAATGCTGGGGGTGTTATGTGATACCTCCTTCCAGAAGAACAGGCGGTAAGCTAGGGCCCTTGGAAGAGCCACTCGGTACTGAGTCACAATTAAATTCATTAGTGCAGCAGCAGTAGAGAAGAAGCTAGGGGGGGGTGGGAGCATGGAGTGGAACCATCCAGACCCAGGCCCCAGACAAAGTGACAAAGTGGTGCAGAGGCCAGCGCCAGGCAGGGACACCAGCCTTAGCATGAGAGGACTCCACATCTCTCAGTGACACAGGGCCATCAGCTCCAAGTGAGATGGGGTAGTGGGCTGTCCAAGGAGCCCTCAGCTATTTACTCCTCTCAGGGAACTCAAGAGTGCAATGACGAGATTGCTGAAGCTGACACTCAGAAAGTTTGTGTGTGTCATTTTGGAAACTCCTACCTGCACTGTAAGTGAAGGGATTGAAAATAGAAAATCAGGCGCCACCCCCTCTCCCACCCCCCTCCAGCCTCTGTCAGAAGCTCCTGTTCTAGCTAGAATCTGAAGGTTGGTGTATTCTGGTCAGGCCTCTCTTTCCGGAGGGCCTGTGGCCACCCAAAGGAACAGATTCAGGTAGCTGAATTCACCTTTTGACAGGCCAGTGTAGGTCCCCACTGCTGGCTGCAAACTCGGGGCCTGGACAATAGCTCCTGTTTTTATTGGAGAACAGTGGGGGCCCCTGGAGCCTTCAGCCAGCAGAAATTTAAATTGTATCTCAGTAGAAAGGAAAAGACGTGAAAGAATATTGCGTCGCTCGGGCCAGAGCTCAATTGGTGAATGTGTTGAAGTTCTGCGGCCATAAACAAGCAAGCCTGTGTGTGTCTCTCCCTCTAGACCCAGCTTACTCACTAAAAGAACATGAAAAAGTCTGAAGTTTAACAGTCTTTCCTGCAGCCACGTCCGAAGTTGACCACTCAAGGCATTTCCATTTACTGTGTGGCCAGGTCTTTCCTAACGGCCATGAAAAAGGAAGGAGTGACCGGGCAGATGGCTACCAGCTTCTGTGGGTGATGCTGGAAGAAAGGGGAGGGAACGAGCCTGCTTCCTCCTGAACTCTGATTGACATTTGATTCTCCCATCTCTCTTTATCCTCACAACTATAGTCATTTCTCCCTGTGCTCCTCCCGCAGATTTCCACAAGGATGAACAGTTACATAAACTGATTGAAGACTCCAAGTTAACAAGGGAGGAGTCCTGTACTACCTGAGTCAATTTGTTTCCAGTCAGTTATATCCAAGGTATTTCCAGGATGAAAAGATGTTGTTAAGAAAACCCAGATATATATGATTTTCTGGTTCAGATGTATGAGAAACCTCTCAGTCAGTAAAGACACATTGAGTGCCACGATGTCCCTGTCCCCATCTGTGGGATCCCAAGAATCCCACCAGATCTGCTTTGTACCTCTTAGTTCTGCTGAAATCAAGTCATAATGTCAAATGCTGTGTTTCTAAAACCTGCCACGCAAGCTGATTTTCTGGGTATAGGCACAGACCTCAAAAGTCAGGCTAGCCCAAAGGTCTCCCAAGGAGCTAGAGAAACAAAAGAGGGAAGTCTTCACCCGACTCTGTTAGAGAGAAGCCAGGAGCACCATGGAAGTTGCGGGCTTTTTAAGGACCATACCAATTTGCCATTCCTGACGGTGCACAAGTCTCTAGCATTCTACTTGGGGTAAGCTGGCATCACATTGTCGTTTTGACTTACATGTCCCCAATGTTCTAGCCCATCTTTTCTATAGATTACCTCCCCAAAGTCCCACGCAAAGTGAAAATCCAGCTACCCCTGCAGAGCTGTGTATGTTTCTTCAGGTGAGGAGGTACTGAATGGAGACCTTGGGCAAGCTGAGGCTCCATTAGAAGTAAGTGGACTACACCTTGTCTCAAGGTCACATCCCAAAGAAAAGCCCCTCCTGGTCCTTCAGACCTAAGAGAGAAGGCTCCTGGCCAAGGAGGTCTAGAGGGGATCCCCTCTGGGGGTGAAGTTCACCCTGTGCCCTACTGCTAGACAACGGTTCTCAGGCTCCAAGCCACCTTGTCACGCTGTGTGAGCCTCTGCTATTTTAAAACGCTTATTTTCTGTGCTCTTTTCATCTGGCAGGTGAAAAATTGCCAAAATTTTGTCTCCAAATAACCCTCATTATTCATTATCTGTGATGAAAGACCTTATTTACTACCTGGGTGCTCCTTCAGAGCCAGGCAACCATTCTCATACCAGGAGGGTGTCGGTCCTGATTTGTATCCATAGAAACAGAATATAAGCGGAGAGCAGGCATCTGAGCTCAGCAGTGATGTGTTAATGCACATGAGGGTCTGAGTTGGTGCATAAGAACTGGCTTTCAGAATTGTCTGATGCTGTCGTGAATCACCAGGTATGATTTCACAGACTAATAGAGACTATTTTGCTTAGTAGGCAAAGTTTATTAAATGGCAGGAAACACATCCGCCAGTCACTGATGTAGTTGCCATTCTACATTTGAATTATTTCCCTTCACTAAGATGCCACAAATTCAGCTGTGGTTCAGGAAGAGTGTGAAGACTTCAAGAGCCCACTGGACCAGAACAGAGGGATGATGCCCTCAAGAAACCCACAGGCCTCTGTGGCCACCATGACTACTCTGGTAGAGGTCTGATTGTAGTCACGTGGGAGAGGTCATCTTAACTCTAGACTCCACTTCTAAAGATAGTTCTGTAGTTTAGTCTTATCAGCACCAAGTCTGTCTCCTGCCTAGGATTTGCTCACACATTAATTTTTTTAGCTATTTTTCTCTTTGCTGTGAAAATACCTGACAAAAGGCAACCCAAGGCAGGGATGATTTATAACATGGGGATGCTGCCCATCTCAGCAGAGACGGCATGATAGCATGCCACTTTGTGATGGCAGGAGTGTATGGCTGGGGCTACCTACATCCCCAGAGATTAGAAAGCAGAGAGATAAATCATCAAGGCGACCTGGTGACCTACCTGCCCTCTAATAATAGTGCTTTGGGGGGAACAGTCATGGGACCAAGTATTCAAACATGAATATAAGGGGCATTTTATATTCAATTAATAAGGTTGACACTCTCTACCACACAAACACACACACACACACACACACACACACACACACACACACACACACACACACACGAGTCCAGGGGCATGTGCATAGCACTTCAGACAGCATCTTGAACCACCTAGCCCTAAGCATAGAGTACCCTGCAGGGAATGGCCTTTACAGCTACAAAGAAGGCTTTAGACAAGAAGAAATAGGCTCCAGGACCCAAGCCTGGGGCTGCTCCAACGCAGCCTCCTTCTCTCCCACTCAGGGGTGGGGTGGTGCACTTCCCAGCCTGCTTCCCCTTCGATATCTACATTTAGTCTCTGCTTCCAGACTTGCCTGGGACACTGAGGATGGATGTGGATGCTTAAGTACCCGCTGTGCCAGGTGTCATGATATCTGAGACGGACAGAGAAAACTTGGTACCGAGACTAGTGTTGCCACTTTAGCCCAGCCAACAGTGGAGAGCCAGGAGAAGAGGCCGCCCCATGGAAGTTCTTAGAAATCTCCACCAGTCTGAGGAGCAAGGATCACAGCACGGAGCCCACTGCAGGACGGCAAACGCATCACCAGGTGGGCGGATAATGGGAAAAGGCAATCCTCAAAGCACACAGGGAGTGACAATGACCCCTAAAGTATGGAGTTTGTCCCTCTTCACTTTCCTGTCGATGTGATGGAACACTGATTAAAACTAATCTGGGGGGAAGGGTTAATTTGGCTGCCAGGTTACAATCCATGCCATGGCAGGATCCTGGAGGAAGGAACTGAAGCAGAGACCATGGGGGAACTCTGTTTCCTGGCTCGTTCACTTTGGCTTGCTCAGCCTGCGCCCTCACCCATCATATAGCAATGAAGAAAATGCACCATAGACATGACATGGCCACAAGCCAGACTGATGGAGGCAGTCCCTCTATTGAGGGTCCCTCTTCCCAGGTATATCAATTTGACAACCAAAGCTAAATATGCCAGGGTCATTCATCTTAACACAATAGCCAAACCTGTGCAGGTCACAAGGTGACCCAGAACAGGCTGCCATGGGGAAATCAGCAAATGTGCTGTTTTGAATACAGGCACATATTTCTCTAAAATAAAAATGAGTCATTTGGGGCTGAAGAGATGGCTCAGTCAGTGAAGTTCTTGCCTCATAAGCATTGGTTCCAAACCCAAGTATAGAAAGCACGTCCCAATCCCAGCTCTGGGAAGAGCAAGGCAGATGGAGGTCTAGGACTTGCTAGCCAGCCAGCCTGGCCTACTTGGCAAGTCCAGGCAAAATGAGAGACTCTGCCTCAAAAAGCTAAGTAGAATGACACCTGAGGTTGTCCTCTGGCCTCTCCACACACATGAGTTATCACATACAAATGTGTATTCACCTGCACCCACAAGCACATAGATGGATATATAACCACATGTGAACACACACACACACACCAAAGAATGAGTTGTCTGTGCCCACAATGTAAAATACCAATGCAATTATATTTATTCAAAATAATTTATAAAAGCCAAGAACTAAGAAGCATGTCTTCACTAAGCCAGTGTTCTCTTCTAGATGCACAAGCCTCTGGTCTAATTTGCTGGCTTCTGACATCCCTCTACAAACATGTATTCCTGCCCATGAAGCCCGCACAGCATGCTGACCATGCTGAGTGCTCTCCTGCTGTCTGCATGTTCCACTTCTAGTACATGTAAGAACTCTTGGGACCCCGGTCTCCTGGGGACACCCAGAAGTCTGTAAGGGCAGGATGCAGGCTGCTGAATCCTGGAGGATCCCTGGGGCTCTCTGGCAGCAATTCTAGCCTAAACGAGTTCCAGGAGGATTAGAGGCCCTGTCTCTAAGGAGATTGATAGTGCTTCTGAGGATGACACTCAAGGTTGTCCTCAACCTCCACATACATGTTAACACACATGCCTGTGTACCTTCACACACATGCACATGCCCCTTCACACGCATGTGCACACACATGTACACGCATAGGCACATGTACCTTCACACACATGTACACACATATGTACTTAAACCTTCACACACATGTGTACACACATGCACATAAGAAGAAAAATTAATACCCTAGCCTAAGACAATCAAGTTTGAGTTCTAAAAATGTGATGTCACCTGTCCCTGAGGTGGCCTAGCATCGAATCTTACCTAGAAGATACCTCTGATAGGATGGCAACTGTCATGGTCTGAGCGAGAACTGTCTCCCTCCCATAGTTCCTGGAATCTGAACACGTGGTCTCAGGGAGCCTTAGGTGGTTCAGTCTTGCTGGAGGAAGTACATCCCTGCGGGGACATTGAGATGAAAAGCTTCACCTCACTTCCAGTTCTCCCTCTCCCTGCTTCCTGTCTGCCACAGAGGATGTGAGTTCTCAGTATCCTGTTCTTGCCACCATGCCTGCCATACGCTGTCACGCTTCCCCACCATGATGGACTCCTATTCCTCTGGAACATAAGCCAAAATAAACTTTCTTCCATCATTTGCCTTGGTCAACGGTGCCTCATCACAGCAACAGAAAAGGGAGTAACACAGTGACAAATTGACCTCATGAGATCTCTGTTGTTCGTCCCATTCTATCCACGAAGCAGGAGCTGCCAGCAGCACAGCACTGACATGAATGATATTTGTGCCATTCAAGTCCCTAGAACCTGTCACCAACCTCCAGGCATTAAAGATGATAGAAGCCTTTCTTCGCATGCAACATTAGTAACCTCAGCCTGGCATTCCTAGAGTTCAATCTTTCAGCTGCAGCTGTCTGGTGATACATTATTTATGATTTATTAAAGCTTGCCTGAGGATTCAGAAGCAAAGTCAGCCTCAAGCTACAGAGATCAGGCAGTGGTGGTACACACCTTTAATCCTATGACTCGGGATTAAGAAGTAGATGGATCTCTGTGAGTCCAAGGCCTTCCAGATCTACACAAGAGTGAATCAGTCTAAAAGAGAAACAGCTCACACAAAGACAATTTCAGCACCTAGAATCACACCCCTCTAATTCCAGCACTAAAGGAGTATAAAATAGGAGCAGGGTATTCAGCAGTCAGTATCAGATTCATCCTCCAGCCACATTGTGGGATAGGAAGCCACCGAAGTCTCAGGATTCTCCAGCAGCGCTGAGGAGAGGCAGCAGTCTGAGGTTTGGTGGGGCCAGGATCGCCTTTCAGTCTGAGGTGGAGTGAGAGCTAGTGCCTGGCTGCTTTGCTTTTCTGATCTTCAGCTTGAAGCTTGAACCCCAATATCAGTCTCTGGGTCTTTTATTAATGGTGCTACATATCTGTAATACTCAGGTCCTCTCAGCCTTCATGTATTGAAGCCCTTACCCGTGGTGCGACAGTTTGGGAAGGTGACCTTTATATGTGATTTGGTCCCAAAGGAGGAGCTCTGAAAGTTCAGATTAGTGCCCTTTCAAAAGAGACCCAGAAAGGCCTCAAGAGGGGATGCCATGGTTAAGAGCACTGGCCACTCTTGCAGAGGACTTGGGTTAGATTTTCTGCACCCACATCCCAACCATCTGCAACTCCACTTCCAGAGTGTCTGATGCCCTTTCCTGGCCTGACGACGCCTGGCATGTACATGATGCACACACATATATGCAGGCAAAACACTCATACACATAAAATAAAATAAATAAATCTAAAAAAATTTGAAAGAGAAATCCAAGAGAGCCCCCTACCGTGCCCCCTTCACCTTGTTGAAGGTGTAGCAAGACAACAAATCTGCCAGTTCTTAATTTTGGACTTCTCAGCCTCCATCCAGAACTCTGAGCAATGCATTTCTGTTACTTCCACCACCCGGTCTGAGAGATGTGTCCCAGCAGTCTGAACAGACTAAGACACAGATGTATACCACACGTTCTCAAGAGATAGGAGGCTGCTCTGCGTCCCAGCCACCTGCTTCTTTCCTCCAGTTGCCAGAAAAATGCAGTGGGAGCCTCCTCTGTCAAAGAAGCCCATGGACCAGGTGGGGAGGAACAGGGTAAGGCAGGGATGCAGCCCCCTTCCCTGGTTTACGGAGGAGCACAGGAGTGGAGGAAGGAACCGATGACACGGTGGGAAAGAAAGTGCCAAATGCCACTCGCTCCTAACCTACTTTGGGAAACATTCTTATGCAGTCACAGCGTGTGCTGTCCAGGTGTGTTTATGGTCATGTTTGACCGTGCGGTCTCTCAGCCTAGAGATGTAGCAATGGGAGAAGAAAATATGACTAAGGCACAAATAAATATGTCAGTAAATGGGAAAGAAGCTAATGCCCAGCTTGTGAGCCTCAGAAGTGCTATGATGTAATGATTTTGAAAGCCACTCTTGGGGTTGCAAGTTCCCACAAATACCAGTCTGTAGTCACATGGCTTTATATTTCAGAGGTTGTAATGCACCTGAACTCCGCTCCATGGTAATGATCTCCAAGGCCTGCTGAGTTCAGCAGGTGTAACAGAGCCACCGCACAATCTTCTGGTTCCTTCCTGAGCCTGTTGTGACTTAGTGATGTCCATTTGTTGTCACAACTAGGTCATAATCTTGGGTACAGCAAACCCTTTTCTTGGGCATCATTTCTTACAACTGTCACAGGCTTTTATGAAGGAAAACCCGTCTTGTCACTTTCTGGAGGTGACTGGCTTCTCTGCCATGTGGAGAGTGAATGAAGTCCTGGGTGAACGTGTGTTCTTGACATGGCGTACAAGGAGCCCAGTGCCCCAGACCCATGGGAGTGGGGAGGCAGATGTTGCAGGCAGTGTGCACAGAAAATACAGAACACAGCTTCCTCCTCTCAGATGTTTACTGCTACTTCTGCAAGGATCGTCCACCAAGGCTAGTTAAGCCTGCCTCCTTGTTCAGCCACACACAAAAAACCTGCCCCGTGATTGAGATGTAGGACATAAAGGTACTCAGTTCCATAATGCTCACTGGTGTGTTTCCACCAGAGTGCAAGCTCCACCTGATCCCAGCTTTTCTGTCCACGTGTCTGTGAATCTGTCCCTTATTCATTCCCTCCTCACCCCAAGCAGGTATCCCGGGCTCAGCTGGGAGGAGCATGGCAATGTCGCCATGAAGTTTTATCAAGAAATAGAATTGGGCTGGAGAGATGGCTCAGAGATTAAGAGCACTGACTGCTCTTCCAGAGGTCCCGAGTTCAATTCCCAGCAACCACATGGTGGCTCACAACCATGCCGTATAAGATCCGGTGCCCTCTTCTGGTGTGCAAATATACATGGAAGCAGAATGTTGTATACATAATAAATAAATAAAATCTTTTTAAAAAATTTAAAAAAATTTTAAAAAAGAAATAGAATTGAAGCATGGAGGGCACCGTGGACTGAACTTAGGAATTGTGCATTCAGATCTTGGCTATATAGTACTTCTTGCTTCATCCCCTGCACCACCCCCAACTCAAGCTGGGTGAGCAAACAGTGAGAGATGTGTTTATCCACAGCTTCTGTTTCTCTTTTGTCCACTTTCCTGCCTGAGACACCCAAAAAGAGTCTGTGTTTATTAGAAGCTTTTTATCAGTCTGGGATTCTAAGCTTCCTTTATTTTTTATTCATGTGTATGACTGTTTGCTATATGTCTGTATGTGCTCTACATACATGCAATGCCTATGGCAACCAGAAGAGGGCATTGGAGACCTTGGGACTGGAGTTACAGGTGTTTGTGAGCTGGAAATTAAACCTAGGGTCCTTTGCCAGAGCGGCCAGTGTTCTTCACTGCTGTGAAATCTCTCCCATCCCTGGGGTTCTAACTAAGCAAACTATTCTGAAACTAGTGTCATTTCTCTACTCTTTTTAGATATTTATATATCATATGCCATGTCTTATTCCAACTTGTGCAACTAGAACAGAATGTTACAGGTACAAGAATTTGGGTGACTTGTTATGAAGAGAAATTCAATTGGCTCTGTTCCTGGAGCCTGGTTAGTTCAGGAATATGGCCCCATGATCTGGCAAGGGCCCTCATGCTATAACATCCCATGGTACAAGGCAGAAGGCAAGAGAGGGTAGCACTTTAATAACTAGCCCGCTGCCCTGGCAACAGCACCAATCCACTCCTGAGTGCAGGTCCTAATCACCTCCCACCTTCCAATACTGTTGCACTGGGGCTGTTTGCCACACGTGAACTACACATGCAAACACAGCAGTCAGCAGGACCTTCGTCCCTTCAGAAGCATCCCAGCAATGAGTTAGACCACACAGTGGAGAACTGTCCAATGTCCGATGATGACCAGGCAAAGAGATGAGAACGCCTGAGCTCGGTGGCTCTGCAGACCATTCACACCACAGACAACACTTCTGAGGGCCAGTAAAACAGTTCTTCCTGTGTTACTGAGGGTCTTGACCACACCGAGACAAACCTGTATTCTGGTCAGTGTGTCTCCATACTGTCTCCCAGAGCATCAGGTACCCTTGACTCCCTCTCCACCCAATGCAGAAAATAGTAGTCTATCTCCACCTTGGAGTGGCCTTATGATTCAGTGCTCCAGCCAGCCAATAATCACTGTTTGGAACTGTCTTAGTCAAGGTTTTTGTCGCTGTGAAAAAAAAAAAAAAAAAAACACCATGACCATGGCAACTCTTATAAAGGAAACATTTAATTGGAGTGGCTTACAGTTTCAGAGGTTCAGTCCATTATCATCATGACAGGGAGCATGGCAGCTGGGAGTGTGACAGCATGCAGTCAGACATGGTGCTGGAGCTGCCTACATCTTGCAGGCAACAAGAAGTCAACTGAAGCTTCACACTGAGGGAAGCTTGAGCAAAAAGAGACCTCAAAGCCCACCCCCAAAGTGACACAGTTCCTCCAACAAGGCCACACCCTCTAATAGTGCCTCTCCCTTTGGGGGCCATTTTCTTTCAAACCACCACATTCTACTCCCTGTCCCCCAGCCTTATAGGCATATCATAATGCAAAAAAAAAAAAAAATGCATTCAGCCCAAATTCAAAATTCCCA